ACTTGCTATCAAGTCGTCACTTTAATTTTATGCTGGCTGCAACACTTGCTATCAAGTCGTCACTTAATTTTATGCTGGCTGCAACACTTGCTATCAAGTCGTCACATTAATTTTATGCTGGCTGCAACACTTGCTATCAAGTCGTCCTTATTCTTTCGTATGTTCTTGTTTCAGTACTTTTGCCAAAACTTTTCCATTTCTTCACATTTTTGTTATCAACTTTTACTTACTGGTTTTTAGGATTTGACGAATTTATTTTAAATTGTTTCGTAATATCGTAATGAGATATGGTCACTTGGACCTACCCGATAATACAGACGTTACTTTAGCTGAATTTTAATTTAAAAATCGAAAATGTGAAGTGTCGTGATGTCGTCCTTATTTTACAGCCATCAAAAATTTAGCAACGACTGACTACAAGTGTTTCAGCCAGCATAAAATTAATACGACGACTTGATAGCAAGTGTTGCAGCCCGCATAAAATAAATGTATTTTTGTGTGTGATTCATATGCTATCAGAGACACTAATAGCGAAGACTCATATGTAATTGTAGGCTTAAAAAGATTTAAAAACTAACAAAATTCCAATTAATCCCTTAATGACAGCCAAAGTTTCCTGTCTATTTTACAAAGAAAATAAAATATTTCATCAATGCTATATTTGGTCAATTTTTTACACTGAATTTTGTAAAAAGGCAAAAAAGACAATTAATCAATAAGCGAACCCCAACGGCAACAAACAGAATCCGAAACAGGTCCATATATTTGGCGGTTAACATTGAAGAAGAGCACATTTTTGAAACGTATTCGAAAAAAAATATGTCATTATTGGTTGGAAGAACAGTTCTGAAGGCCATCCCTGTGGATATTATTACTTTCCAACGTAAATAGCGATTGTACTTAACCCACCAGTGTCACTGGTGCTTTAAGTTGTAGTCTCTTATATTAAAATTCAGTTAGAATTGTTAAACAGTTGAGTTATGACATACTGTGTTTCTAATATAATAACGCACAGAATTGTTATACAGTCGAGTAGTTAAACAATTACGTAGTGAAACAGAGAGTTATTAGACAGTTGAGTTATGACATAGTGTGTTTTTAACGTAATAACGTACAGAGTTGCAATACAGTCGAGTATTGCTTGTTTGTTTTGAATTGCGCGCAAAGCTACACGAGGGCTATCTGCGCTAGCCGTCCCTAATTTAGCAATGTAAGACTAGAGGGAAAGCAGCTAGTCACCACCACCCACCGCCAACTCTTGGGCTACTAATTTACCAACGAACAGCAGGATTGACCGTCACATTATAACGCACCCTTGGCTGAAAGAACGAGCATGTTTGGTGGGACGGGGATTCGAACCCACGACCCGCAGATTGGGAGTCGAGCGCCCTAATTATCTGGCCATGCCAGGGCCTTTACAGTCGAGTAGTGACATGAAGAGCGTTAAGCAATTACGTAGTGAAACAGAGAGTTATGAAATGTATTTGTTAAATAGTTCGGTAATGAAACATAATTCCAAAGCGTAGGTATCATTCTGGCAATCTATACACAAGTTATTGTTCTAAAACTCTTGTAAAAAACAACAACAACAATGAATAAATATCAGATCACTTCTTTACAAGGTTTTCAGTGTGTTCTTAGAAAAAAATGTTAGATAAACTTTGCACATAAGTGACGTACATACCTTGCAGCAACGTTGATAACTTGCAGTAACTGTTTTACGAAACGGTTCACCATGAAGTCTTCGTCATTTTCTTCACACAGCTCAAAGGCATCGTCAAAGAAAATATGAACTAAAAATTAAAGAAATGCCATTATTTTATCTCCCCTTTCAAGAAACTGGCAGAGATGTTTCTAAAAAAAATAAAATAAGGGCTGGTATTACTCTTGAGTATATGTAGCACAGGGATTTAAAACAACAACAAAAACATTAGGTGCCCTCCATCACCGTGTGGATAACATTTGATTTGCAGCACCGAAACTAGTTGATATTTTATGTGTGTTTTTTTTTACACCATAATAGTTGTCGTCTGTTTGTTTGTTGTTAAGCGCAAAGCTACACAGCTGTGTCCACCACAGGTGTCGAAACCTGATTTTGAGCGCTATAAGTGCAGAGTCTTACCGCTGAGTCAGTTATTTCTTATTAATATTGTTACGACAGTAACACGCCATGAGATTCTAGAAAGATCATGTCCGTTCGTGAAGCCTCGAGTGTTCTCCAGACGCCCTCTATTTCGTATATATAAGACCGGTGAGAAGTGACGGCATATATATAGAATTGGAAAGCAGACAGAGAGATTGAAGATATAGACGGACAGTCGAGTCAAGCGAGGTAGTAAGTAAAGTGCGTGAATCGTTTGTTGAGAATTATAGCGTATGTTTTAGTTAAAGTGACTGTGGAAATTAAGTGTATTGCAAAGTTGAATTGAGAAAGAATAAACTAGTTTTTGAGAAAGGACTTGTATCGCTGAAATTCTTCGGAAAGAACTTTTACGAGTAATTAACAAACAACCAGAGACGTAACAATATATATTCGTATGTTAATATTAAATATATATATAAAAAAGGATTAGCTTATCGTTTTGGGGCAATTAACTTTTTGATCACTCTGTATATTTTGCATTTTGATAGTTTATAAAAAGCTTAGTGAACCAACGATAAGCTTCAGGGCTTATAACGCTAAAATTAGGGTTCGATCTGCACGGTGTACGCAGCGCAGATAGTCTATTCTGTAGCGTTACGCTAAAAACAAAATAAATAAACAGACAGACAACTATAAGATGATTGAAAATATGTAAATCTGATCCTATTGTTTGTATTTCGGGCGAATTCATGTGTGTTTTTAGCAAACAAAATATTCAATATTATTTCTGTATGCGAGTAGTTTTAAATAAATAAACGGCACAGACTTAACAAGTTTGAGAGCTCATAATCAGATAGAAGGCTAGGTTTACGTTATTACGTAAGAGATCACGAGAGGTTAGGCTTAACTGATTAAAAAAGGTTGTTATTAAACAAGAAATCTTCATACGCAAAAACTCACAGGAGACTAAGACTAAATGATTAGAAAAGCTTCTTATTAAACAAGAAACCGATTTATGAAGGAGATCACAAGAGACTAGGCTTAACTGATAATAAAAGTTTGTTGTTAAACAGGAAACCTTATCACACAAGATCCCATGAGAAGCTAGGCTTAGCTGATTAGAAAAGCTAGTGGTTAAACAAGAAACTATATTTTGCGGTGAAGAAATCCTGTTAACTCTTTGTCATTTATGTGCTTTAAATAAGCTTTTCACCACTGACTGAGTCTTAAGGATTCTACTTGTTATCAAACTAATTTTCTATCACTTGTAAGTTTTTTTATAGCTACATTGAACGTAACATGTATCTTGTTTAACAATCTAAACACCATACTTAATTTACCTCTGTCTAATAACTTATGAAAGAGTTTTACGTGCTAGTTTGACGATAATTTCGTATGCGTGCATGAACTCTAACTCGTTCGAATGTGCTGTTGTAATTTCATTTTGTATTTATGGCTATATCTTTAATGTTGTAATTTGTTTGTTAGCAAGAAAGAGAAAGTTCTAAAAATAGAGGTAGGGCAACCAGTCAACATTACTCCATCGTACACACTAAGGGATTGATTATCACTCTTAAAACGCCTCCCACAGCTTAAATTGCAGGAAATATTTTGTTGTATCACACGGATATGAACCTGGTTCGCCAGCTCCGATTTCCAGAGCTCTACCACAGAGCTGCGTCCTACTGTTGTAATTCAAAAACTGTTCAAGTTTTTGACATTAGAATGCAAGTCCTTCCGTTTGTAACATTTAGGGTAGGCCAAAGTTCGGGCCTTTATGCACTAAATGTTTCTTATTATTCTGTGCCTTTCTGATTGATCAACTGCAGAGAGAATGTGTACTGTGGTCTTCGATAAGGTTCGTTATACATGTTTTACTCACGGATGGCTTTTCACCAGCCTAAATAAATATTGTTACTTTGTGAAAATCCCCCCAGTGGCGCAGCGATGTGTCTGCGAACTTACTATGCTAGAAACCGGGTTTCAATACCCGTGGTGAGCAGAGTACAGATAGCCTGTTGTGTAGCTTTGTGCTTAATTCCAAACAAACAAACAGAACTTTGTGAAAAAGAAATAATTATCCGTACAATTCGTTTTGTCATCTTAAAAAAGAGAGAAGAAAAACAAATGTTTAACAGGAGTTAGGCTTCGGTCTTAGGCCTACCTGCGGCACAACTAAATGGAACAAGGATGAAGATAAAAAAGAAACTATGAAACAAACGGTCATATATTCAAACAAACGCACTGATCATTAGTGTACATGATAGACGCGTTTGTTTATATTTATGACTGTTTGTTCCATAAACTGTTTTCATCTTCAGCCCTGTTCCATTCAGTTGTTCGTGACGTAGGCCTAAGACCGAAATATAACACGAATGAGAAAAACGTTTGATTTTCTTGTTTCTTTTTGTGAAAATGGAAGATGTTTGTTTGTTTTTAATTGTGCACAAAGCTGCACAAGGGCTATCGGTGCTCTGCCCACCACGGGTATCGAAACCCGGTTTCGAGCGTTGTAAGTCCACAGACATACCATTGTGCCACTGGAGGGCGAAGATGAAAGAAACAACTCATATGGCATAATTTATTTTTACCAAAGTAATAATGTCTTAATATCTTCGGAAGAGCATTATTCATTTTAAATAATATATATTGTTGAAGTCAAGTTCATGAAATATCATATTGAATCAGAAACATACAGAAAAGCCAGATTAAGTAATATACACTTATCTGACATCTCTTATTTTCATATAATAAACTGTTCAGGAAAATAGTTTGAAAAATGAGAGGAATAGGGTGAAGTATGCAAATACTGAAAATCATACTCTAACAGAGGCTATGTCATATATCTTATACGTAAAGTTTTTATACTGAAAATCATACTCTAACAGAGGCTATGTCATATATCTTATACGTAAAGTTTTTATACTGAAAATCATACTCTAACAGAGGCTATGTCATATACCTTATACGTAAAGTTTTTATGAGTTACTTTAAATTCTAATTTTAAAACATATTAAATTTGGTGGACATCAGACTGGGGTGTTCATTTTTGTAGCTTGACCAGTCAAGGAGCTTATTTGCTGTTCGTTGTGACAGTTACATTTTATCCTCCTTGACCTTTCGTTTGGGGGTGACCTGGGACTGTCAAGCAGAGCAGGCATATTTTGGTGTCATTTTTCTTCTCATTGGTCACAGAGAATGTGTATTGTGGTCTAAGAACTCGCTGTAGATCGACTTATCTTTGAATAATCTTATTTCGGTTTCTCAGCCTGTAAGATATGCAATACAATTGGACGTAAAGCGGGAAATAAACAGAACTTCGTTGAGTTTGTTAAAATTGTTCTCACATTAACATTCCATCCAGCCAAATCTTCGGACCTCTTGACGAAAGACGACGGAAGTTTACCTGTCTGGCATTATTCCTTTAAACCAGGAATACCCGAAATGGATGGTTGATTTATGCTTTGAGAGAATACGAAATTTGACTCAGTACTTATGCTGTTGATATATGAGGGGGGACGATACCCCGTTAACAAAACACTGAGAAGGTATGCCATCATCCTATCTATGATTCTTCCATATTTAATGAACACTTATTACATCACATTCCGAGGTAAAGAAAATAAAACAAAAAACAAACAAACTGTCAAACCTATCGGAATTAATATACATAATTTAACTAGACACCGTATTGGGATGGGCTAACAGATATCGGTTTAAATTACGAGCTACACAAGTTACTCTACAAGATTGAAGGTCTATAAATACAAGCATGGTGAGGTGATTAAAAGTTCGTATTATCAAAGTGTTCTCGTCATGATTGGTATATACACAATAAGTTCGTATTATCAAAGTGTTCTCATCATGATTGGTATATACAGAATAAGTTCGTATAATCAAAGTGTTCTCGTCATGATTGGTATATACACAATAAGTTCGTATTATCAAAGTGTTCTCGTCATGGTGGGTGTATACACAATAAGTTCGTATTATCAAAGTGTTCTCGTCTTGATGGGTATACACACAAAAAAGTCGAATTATCAAAGTGTTCTCGTCATGATGGGTATTTTGTTGCAATTTTATGCTTAAGACCGTTGATCAAGGGCGTTGTGCCAAGTAATTGATATACCATCTATACAAGTAGGTTAAAATAGGTAAGTACATCTAAAACTACTCCACAAGGCTTAAGAGGAATTGTGTTAATGTTTTATCAAGCTGTAGATAAGCTCGAAATAGATTAGAAGTCGGGTTCGTGTACATGTCAGCCATTTTGTTTAATCTGGTTCGAACAGTTCGAGTTAACAGCACACACATCTTTGATCTTATAATCAACAGATAAGATAAGATGCAGTCCACATTAAGCAGACAGAGTTTTAAGGTAGATGTTTAAATTTGTTTTTTGTCGTTTGCTTTCTCTCTTTATTGCTCAATCTAACTAGATATGAGGTGTTTTCAAAATGTTGACTGTTCACACATGGCTTACTATATATGAGGTGTTTTCAAAATGTTGACTGTTCAGACATGGCTTACAATATATGAGGTGTTTTCAAAATGTTGACTGTTCAGACATGGCCTAGTATGGTATGAGGTGTTTTCAAAATGTTGACTGTTCACACATGGCTTACTATATATGAGGTGTTTTCAAAATGTTGACTGTTCAGACATGGCCTAGTATGTATGAGGTGTTTTCAAAATGTTGACTGTTCAGACATGGCCTAGTATGTATGAGGTGTTTTCAAAATGTTGACTGTTCAGACATGGCCTAGTATGTATGAGGTGTTTTCAAAATGTTGATTGTTCAGGCATGGCTTAGCATGTAGCATATCGCGCTCCGTACTTTCATCGTTATATAGAAAAGCCTATTCAATAACCAAACAAAGCCTTTATGCGCTACATGCTCTTCTAGCTGGTTTGCGGTATTTCTCTGGTCAGTATCTTTAAGCTAGGGACGGGCATACCTTAATTCTAAGAATCTTTGATCTAGGCGTTTAACTCAGTCATGTGTCGCAGAAGGTGACGTTCTGGTTGAAGATACCAGAATCAACATATTTGAAATATTAGAATATTTCCAGACAGTAAATATAACACACACATTAAGGCGAAATAAAAATATATGAGTTCAAGACACTGTGGTATGAAATCGCTCTCTCTGTGTACCAAATTCAAATAGGAAGCTGGTGACCATGATCTTCCACTGATCCCTCTGTGTACCATATTCAAATAGGAAGTTGGTGACCATGATCTTCCACTGATCCCTCTGTGTACCATATTCAAATAGGAAGTTGGTGACCATGGTCTTCCACTGATCTTTTCTCTCTGTGTACCATATCCAAACAGGAAGTTGAAGTCCATGCTTTTCCACTGATCTTTTCTCTCTGTGTACCATATCCAAACAGGAAGTTGGTGACCATGATCTTCCACTGATCCCTCTGTGTACCATATTCAAACAGGAAGTTGGTGACCGTGATCATCTACTGATCTCTTCTCTCTATGTACCATATCCAAACAGGAAGTTAGTGACCATTGTCTTCCACAGATCTCTCTGTGTACCATATCCAAACAGGAAGTTGGTGACCATGGTCTTCCACAGATCCCTCTGTGTACCATATCCAAACAGGAAGTTGGTGACCATGGTCTTTCACAGATTTCTCTATGTACCATATCCAAACAGGAAGTTAGTGACCATTGTCTTCCACAGATCTCTCTGTGTACCATATCCAAACAGGAAGTTGGTGACCATGGTCTTCCACTGATCTCTTCTCTCTGTGTATCTTTTCCAAACAGGAAGTTGGTGACCATGGTCTTCCACACATCTCTTTATGTACCATATCCAAACAGGAAGTTAGTGATAATTGTCTTCCACAGATCTTTTTTTCTCTGAGGCACAAAGAATGCCCAATGTTGATACATTCCCCCATTTAGATGGACTCTTGACATAAATCAACCCTTTTCTTCCACGACCTCTTCCACCTCTGTCTTTTACGGTCTCTCCTTCCTCCAGTCTTTCCAGTTACGACAACACTTCCAATGTGTGGAATAGTGAATTTTGTAACACACGCGATGAGTTCCAATCAGAATGTCTGATTTATTATATAATTCATTGTCGATAGAACTAAACAGAGTTTTTAAAGAACTTATTAGAGAGCTTTTCGAAGTAAACAATTTTACTAAGAAAACAACTATAAGAAACTGGAATGAAATCCATTGACATTACCTTCAAACTCATAATAGTCGGGATCCACAATCGCAAGGTATTTCTGGGCATTTTTACGTGCAGCTTGATCCTCATCCACCCTGAAACAAAATGGACGATGTCATGGTGACATATAAATAATTTGAGTAACATTAGTAACCATAAATTACACACACACACACATATACAATGTATGACATTATATGCACAGTACAATGCTTTTTTTTCCGGTATTTTCTTCCAACCGAAAATATCAATATATCCAATATTATAGCTTATTGTAGCTTAATGGCGCTGCTATAGCTTTGTTTACGTATTTTTCCCGCCGACAAACTCCAATTGTTAGCCTCTCGTATTGTACATTTAAAATACTGTACTTATATAGATTTTTCATACAGTTTATGATTTTTTACGATATTTATCATTAGTTAATACTGTTATTGTTATACATGATGTAGAAGTACTGTACTTTACAATATTAACAAGGTGTCAATATTTTTCCTGTAAAATATTGTAAGGAAAACGCTTTCGTAATCGGAATTTCCGCCTATCCAGCACTGCCCAGGTCCGGAAGATGCCGGTTTAATAAAGTTTTTACTGAATATATATATATATATATATATAGTTATGTCCAGGGATTGTTAAGCCCAATATTAAACAAATATTTAAACATCGTTTGTATTTTAGATATATTATCCTATTTTCCCTTCATTAAAAATAACTAAGCCTTGTTTGTTTTTTATATTTTACTTTAAAAAGAGATTAAATTTGGATACTTCGTAGCCTCTACTTCCCCCACCACAGACAAAAGTAGAGTATATATAATTTTCATACCTCATGACAGACTTCAACATCTGGACCATTTCTTCGCCTGTCTCGTGCCACATAGTCGCGCATCCGTAAATTCTTGACACTTCGTCTTTATTTTGCACTTTATCTACGGATATGAACTGGTCCCTGCCAATTTCTGCAGGTACAGTATCGTACAATCTGGATATTTGAGTTTCTTCTTTTTCTGCGTTGTCAAGTTTCTGAAAACGTCGTCAAGTTTAAAATGCTTAAAAACATCGAGATTATACTAAACTAAAATTTCGAAATCATCACAGTTTATAAAAAATTAGATTGAAGATATTTTTTCCCTGAAAAAAAAAAGGAAAAAAGGAAAAATGACATTAGAGGGCGGGTCGCTGATTCCAGTGTTACATACGATTATAAATAAATATTGTTTATAAATTCCAGATTCACTAGAAATGATTACAACTCATTACACAGACGATATAATGTGAAAGTATTAGCAACAATACATCCTAGCCATCTTTCAATAAAAAAATAACTAAATCAAAAGCTTGGTTTTCATTCTTCTAATATTGGATGCAGGTTGGTTCTTTGGTAGAGCTCTGGATTTCGGATCTGGCGGGCCAGGTGTGGATCTGTGCGATATCTCAAACTATTCCCCACACTTTAAGCTGTGGTTGTGTATAAGCGTGATGGTGGATGGTGGTTAATAGGGCATTGTTGACTCTTCGTCTTTAACTTGTACTTTCTCATTGGAAACGAACAGCCGCTTGCCGACTACTACAGGTATATTACCATACAATACGAATATTTGGATTTCTTCGTTTTCCTTCTGGTCAGTAGTTGAAAATAGGGACGGATATACTGGAGTCATAGAGTTCTATATCCTGACCATTTAGCACACATGTGCATCAGGTTAAAAATTCCCATTTCCACTAACTACTTCTCTTAAAAATCAATATAACCATTTCAGAGACATAAAAAATACTTTATAAAAGCGTTGACGTGACTACTCTGTATTGATTGTTTGTTTGTTTGAAATTAAGCACAAATCTACACAATGGGCTATCTGTACTCTGCCCACCACGGGTATCGAAACTCGGTTTCTAGCGTTGCAAGTCCACAGACATATCGCTGTGCTTCTGGGGGGCACACTCTGTATTGATTGTTTGTTTGTAATTAAGCACAAAGCTACACAATGGGCTATCTGTGCTCTGCCCACCACGGGTATCGAAACCCGGTTTGTAGCGTTGTAAGTCCGCAGACATACCGCTGTGCCACTAGGGGGGGGCACACTCTGTATTGAAGTCGCGGATAATACTCGCATGAAGTTTGTCAAATAATTCACAAATAATCAGATCGATTTGCAAATGCTCATCGTAAACAGTTTCTTTTGTTGAAGAATTGTTCCCTGATGAGTTTGCAGTGACTTTACAGACCTAAAACGCTAAAATCCTAGGTTCGATTCCTCGCGGTGGACGGAGTGCAGATAGCTTATGATGTAGCTTTGCGCTTAAAAACAACAACATTGAAAACAATTATGGATTTAAATTTTAAACCTATAAATACCATTTTTACTAACTGATCAATTCAGTTTCTGAGGGCGTAATGTATTTTAAATAGTAGTCAAAAACAGACGCTAAACCTAACGTATTCCAATGTTGTAACTACTTATGTGAAACAGATAGTTTCTGCTGTTATACGTCGTTTTTAATTAACTAGATGTAGGTGTATATTCAACTACTTGTAACTTCCTGCAAAAAACCGTAAATTAACGCACAATTTACGTTTTACTGAAATAAAGTCATTGCTTACAAGGGAATAATCGAGTCATATAAAAATAACCTGTAACGTATACAAGTAGTGGTTCTTGGTTCTTGATTTTCACGAAAAAAATACGTTTTAAATTCTCTTCGAACATCCATGGCTTGGATATAGCCTAATGATTCATGTAGCCAGCCTGAGAATATGAGAATTCGTGGTTCGCAACTTTTTTTTGTTGGGTCATTGTATGTGCTATAAAGGTGAAGGTCATATGCCACTGTTAGATCAGAAAAGAATAGCTCAAGAATCGACGGTAGGTGCTGTTGACTGGATGTCTTCCCTCTAATCTATCAGTTCAAAATCATTGTTTGTTTGTTTGTAATTAAGCATAAAGCTACACAATGGGCTATCTGTGATCTGCCCACCACGGGTATCGACACCCGGATTCTAGCGTTGTAAGTCCGAAGACATACCGCTGTGCTATTTGGGAGCGTTCAAAATCAGGGTATATGTAGAGAACCATTATGTAGCTAAAACCACCATTCGGGATTTCTTCACCTCTCGGTTAAACTATTTTTTTTTGACACTGTTATTTCATACATCTGAATCGTATATGGTAGGACAGATGGAGAAGGTTTGTTGCCCACACCATCTAGTTATAAACTACGAAGCCATATATCTGTCCCTTAAGAGTAACCCAGACCATCTAGTTATAAACTACGAAGCCATATATCTGTCCCTTAAGAGTAACCCAGACCATCTAGTTATAAACTACGAAGACATATATCTGTCCCTTAAGAGTAACCCAGGCCATCTAGTTATAAACTACGAAGACATATATCTGTCCCTTAAGAGTAACCCAGACCATCTAGTTATAAACTACGAAGACATATATCTGTCCCTTAAGAGTAACCCAGACCATCTAGTTATAAACTACGAAGACATATATCTGTCCCTTAAGAGTAACCCACACCATCTAGTTATAAACTACGAAGACATATATCTGTCCCTTAAGAGTAATAAATGGTAGGAACAAAATATCAAAAAGTGTACTAGCTAAATCAGAAACACCGATCTTACTTTAGGTCTAATACATTTGAAATTTGACAAATTCCTGTCATTTTAAGTCGAAATGATTCGTTATAATTTCAAATTTTGGCATTACGGTCGAAAACGTCGCTAGTGTTGTTAGCAACTTTCTAACAGTGTAGTATCAGTGACAAGAACTGTTACCTGCGACATGCGCTCGTACACAAAATATATCAAACTATCACATATAAGTACAAATAATATCATATGAACGTTCTTAATTAAAAGAATCCAAGATGAGACGATGCAAACATGACTTTTTTATATTCTATGAACACTCGCATATGGTGAAGAGTTTAGGATTTTAGTATGTTAACTTCAGTAGCTACGTTCAGCAGAAAACTTTTTAGCTTTCCAAGAACCAATAAGAACATACGAATTACCATAATACAGGAAAATTTTGGTTTGGTTTAGTTGATCTTAAGCTCAAAGCTACACAGTGGGACATCCGTGCTATCCTCACCATGGGTATTGAAACCAGGATTTTTAGCGTTGTATGTCTGTAAACTTCCAGAGATGATTGAAATTTTTCATGAATAATTTCTTAGCCTAACCAAACCGAATTGCTAACGATGTATTCGGCTGTAATATCAAGATCTGTATTTTTTTTACGGAGACCAGTATTTGTCTTTAAATTTTGAATATGCACTATAGTTGATTAATTGTAGCACTTTAATGCACCAAATGTCGAATAATTCGTTCTGTTCTTTCAAAACCAAAGCATATTGTATAAACATTATAACATTTCCAATTACCCTATACTAATACAGGGTGTCCAATAAGTCTGGAACCATAGATGATTTGCAGCTTTTCTCAATTTCAGATACGTGATTGGTTATTGTGCTGTCAAGGTCGAGTTAATCCTCCTATTAATCCAAACTTATTTCGAATTACAAATACAACATTCTCTAGAATTCACCCAAGTGCCTATGGTTCCAGACCTTTCGTACACCATGTATCGCAATTTGTACCGCAAATGAAAAATTAAACAAAGTGCCATTTTCGAGCATACCTCACTTTTGATTTCAACTTCATCATCTCGTTTTCGGTTTAAAGCCACCGATTGGTCAATCAAAGCACTGACGTACATTGGATTTGTAAAAAGTCTGCAAAAGAAAGGAAAATAATTCAACATTAGCAGAAAAGTATTGTTTGACGTTGTGTCAATAATAAAAAATATTGTCTGATGTTGTATCAAAAATACAAGTATTGTCTGACGTGTGTCAATAATAAAGGTATCGTCTGACGTTGTGTTTGTTTGTTTGTTTTGAATTTCGCGCAAAGCTACACGAGGGCTATCTGCGCTAGCCGTTCCTAATTTAGTAGTGTAAGACTAAAGGGAAGGCAGCTAGTCATCACCACCCACCGCCAACTCTTGGACTACTCTTTTAACAACGAATTGTGGGATTGACCGTACATTATAACGCCCCCACGGCTGAAAGGGCGAGCATGTTTGGTGTGACGGTGATTCGAACCCGCAGCCCACAGATTGCGAGTCGAGTGCCCTAATCACCTGGCCATGCCGGGCCCCTGACGTTGTGTCAATAAGTAAAGGAAAATATTGTTAAATACAAATAACCTGAGATCTGTATTTGTGAGAGATATTATTCACGGTCCCATGTTTTTGATATATACCCTCTTTTATGCAGAAAAATGCTTTGAAGATATCCAGTTAAAACTACCATCCATTTCTGCTTTTTCACCACATGATAATCTGAACTTATATGTATCAACTCACATTGACCTTACTTTTATAGTGCACCCTTGATGTCAAAGTGCGGAGCGCATTTTTCAGGTAACGGGACGCGAAACCTGAACCTCGAGCACGCTAAACAGCAGGTCCGCTCGGCACATTGGAAAACTGGATAGCTGTTGTTGTTGTTTGAAATTAAGCACAAAGCTACACGATGGGCTATCTGTGCTCTGCCCACCACAGGTATCGAAACCTAGTTTCTAGCGTTATAAGTCCGCAGACATATCGCTGTGCCACTGGGGGCAACTGGATAGCTTCAAAGTATTTCTCGGAATGATATAATATAAAAGTTTGCGTATATCAAAACCAAAACCTTACAAAGGTCCATTAGATGACATACGTCACAATCGATCTAGCTGATGACAGCTGACGTCACTCAAAACCATATCCCTCATCTAGTCGGGTTTGCCAAGTAATGTGAACTGAAAACTTATATAAATGTTGAGCTTAAAGGCAGTAAATTCAGAAAATTATTATAACTATTATATCTTCGTTTATTCTTGTGTTTATGTTTGATCTATTCATGTGGTTATGTCTGCGTTTATTCATGTGTTTATGTCTGCCTTTATTCATGCGTTTATGTTTGCGTTTAATCAAGTTTATTTCTCGGTTTATTCATGTTTATATCTCTCTTTATGCATATATTTATATCTGCCTTTATTTATGTATTTAAATTTGCGTTATTGATGTGTTTATATCTTCGTTTATTCATGTTTATGCCTCCGTAATTCACGTATTTTTGTCTGCATTTATTCATGTTTATATCTCTATTCATGCACGTATTTACGTCTGCGCTTATTCAAGCGTTTTGTCTGCATTTATTTGTTCATATATCTGCCTTTATTCGTTTATATATCTGCCTTTATTCGTGTGTTTATATCTGTCTTTATTCATGTGCTTATATCTGCCTTTATTCATTTGTTTCTGTCTGTGTTTACTCATGTTTAAATCTCTGTTTATTCATGTGTTTAAAGTGTTATGATTGTTTGTTTCGCGCAAAGCTACTCAAGGAACATCTGTGCTAGTCGTTCCTAATTTAAAACTGATAGAATAGAAGACAGGGCGCTAGAAAACCTTTGTGTTATTCTAATCGAATTGAGGAATTTGCCCGTTACTCCTATTAAAACAATAATGGCCAAATACGAAGTGCAACCAAGGACCCTTAGGTTTACAGTCCAGCACGTTGACCACTAGACCATGTCCGGCCAAGTGCAATGAATTATTCAAGACGTATTTATATGGTAGAGGCTAAACCAATTTTTAAATTTCTTTATTATTGTTGTCATTTCATTTTAGTCCAAGGGCGAGCAGGCCATTAAAGGGTTACGCCTTCTTTTCGGCCAAGAGTCGTAACGAGACTGATAAGTGATAGAAGATGATGGACGTTTAAAAGAACCAATCAATACATGAGGAGAGGCGTGGGAATAATATTATTGTTTGTTACCTCAAAGTAGGCTAACTTAATGTGAATTAACTCCCAGTACAATACTTATGGTGTATAACGCTTAAACTGGGGAAATATCACTCATTAGTTGGTAATACACGTGATATTCGCCCAGAAAAATACTAATTATAATTTTAACTATATTCTTCTTTATTGGATCAATACGGGAAACTCACAAATAGGTAAGCATAGAGTGATATGATTTAAATAATCTTTATTATTATTATTATTATTATGGTGTGAACACCGTTGCTGATGAAGGATGACTATAATTAATTATATCTGTCATAAGTCAATAGTGTTAGGCTTATTACATTTTGAAACACCACCTTTTTTTATTCGGTCCTTACGTGAGTCTTATTGGGATGTAATGTCACGTTTCTATGCCAACAAATTCATTACAACTGTATTCCATACAAACTCGTGTACATGTAGAAACAAGGAAAAAAAAATACATTGGCCACTTTTGGCATATGTCTACTCACTTACGGACTTCTCTAAAAATACCATAATTTTGAGTAAGAACATTTAGTTACAAAAATAACATACTTTTCAGTCGATGCAAGTCTTTCACATTTCGGTGTCCAGATGTGAATAACTATCCACGTCTGTGAGAGGAGCCACAATACCCATACCCACGCATGTTCTTGGAAAACAAAGTCTGCAAAGAAGTCACTCCGAGGACAGGTCCAAAAGAGATACTTTGGAAAAGTCTTTTCAAAGAAACAAACATCCTCCGCACGAATTCCACAAATCCCAATGAGCACGGATACGGAGACAGGGATCACTAGACTAATGGGGAATGCAAAGCTAAATCCCTGGATGCAAATTCTGCAAGCAAATTTTCCATGCACATAACAAAGCCAAGATGCGAGAGAATGCACTATAAGAAAATAAATGGGGGTCATCGCATTGGACATGATCTCTGTTGGATTGTCCAGAGGATTTGTCGTTGCCAATTCTGGCACTTTGGTTACTACGACGGACTTTCTTATCTGGTCGATCACAATGGGATGGCTTTTAAAGCTGGCCCTAAAACTTTGAAAAAGTACACTCACATCGTTCGTGGTGATCATCAAGAAGACCAACATGCTACACAAAATTAACACCATTTTCCAGATTGAAATGAAGATGTATGTGTAATATTTACTCTTTCGTAAGTCTTCTTTGGCCTTAGCGAGAGTTTTCATGAGCCCTATTGGAGAGCGTTGGTCAGTGAAGTTCTCCCAGTAGTTCATGGACACAAAGATAACAGCGAGAGGAATTGCCCAACACTGGCGATTACCTAACACAAAGGGCCATACTACAAAACCAGTTGCTTGTGCTGATAGCGAGAGGACATCGAGGAAAACCTTCAGAAGGCGCTTCTCTTCGGTTCTGTGACGTGATAACAATCCCAACAGACCAGGCATGAAACAAACGCAGCTAGATAACATGGCAGCCTTTACGACGTCCATGTCTGGTAGAACGACGAAGACTAAAAGCACAAGTCCTAAACTATGTAGGGATTCGGCGATAAAAACCTAAAAATAAGAAAAGAAAATATCTAAAGCCAAACAAATTAACTTTGCTATTTCACTTTGATATATTAACAGTGTCAGCACTTAGCTACACAAAGGAATATCTGCACACAACCGACCTTAATTTTTTTTTGAACTGATAAACTAGGCGGATGGTTGCTGTTCAACAGCGCCAACAACCAACTCTTCAGCTACTCTTGTCAGCCACATATAATGAGACTGTCAATTCCACTATTCGTTGGTAAACGAGGAGCCCAAGAGTTGGCGGTGAGTGGTGATGACTAGTTGCCTTCGCTCTAGAATTTCACTGCTAAATTAGGGACGACTAGCGCAGATAATCCTCTTGTAGCTTTGCGCAAAATTCAAAAACACACACTTACTTATTCATGCTGGGTCTATACTTACAATTAAAAATGTGTTACGCTGAGGTTTTCTGTATGACTTGAATACACACATTCTGGTACTTCTGAAAAGTGTGAAAACCTCTGGAATTATTAAAGCAAAATACAAACACCAAATCCATTCAACTCGTTCTACATCTGCTATGGTGGCTTGATAATCCTTGTCTCGTTCCAGCTCTGAAAAAAAGAGAGAATAATTTAAATATGTATATAAGTACTAAACCTTTTAAAATCTATTTTATATCAAGATAGAAGAAATTGTATAAAATTTAATATTTACAAAATTACTTTAAAGTAAGATTATTATTACTATATTTTATGGTATTGTCTTCATATGGAGGTGTGAAAACAATAGTGAAGACGGTAAATTGAGAAGTGGAAGTAAATATCAGGCTGCACCAAGGGTTAGCCATTAGCCATTTGCTGTTTGTTATTATCATATACGTCTTGAGTAAGTAATGCTGTAAGAGATCCCTGTGGTAACCATTTATTCACTGATGACCTTGTCATGAAAGCTGAAAGTGAAGAGGAGTTATAAACGCAAGTTAAAGTGTGGCAAAATAGTTTGGAAAATGAATGTCAGAAAAATGGAATTATGGTGAGAAGGAAGAGGGTTAAGATCACAGATGTAAATGGGAAGTCGCTGGAACAGGTAGAAGACTTTAGATACTCGGGAAGTACAATCAAAAGTGAAGGAAGAAGTGAGAGATAGAATCTAGGCAGGTTGGAAGCAAGGGAGGGAAGTAGCCACAGTCATATGCGACTAAAGGTTACCAAGGGCAATGAAAGACAAAGTGTATAAGATCGTGATTAAACTGGTGCTCCTCTACGAATCCGAGACCTGGACCCTGAAGAAGAAAGAAGAAAGATTGTTGATAAGAACAGAAATGAGAATGCTGAAACAGCTGTTGGGAGTGTCCCAGACAGAAAAGATAACGAATACTAAAATTAAAGAAATGGCAGGAGTCTGTGGAATTGGGGAAAAAGCAAGAGAAGCGAAACTGAGGTGTTTGGTCACGTGAAAAGAAGAGAAATAGAACAAGTAATAAGAAGAGCATTGGTCTTGTTGTGTACTTAAACAGTGACTCAACATCATTTGAGCTACAGGGACTATAACTTTTACACTGGTCTTGTTGTGTACTCAAACAGTGACCCAACATAATTGGAGCTACATGGACTATAACTTTTACACTGGTCTTGTTGTGTACTCAAACAGTGACCTAACATCATTTGAGCTACAGGGAATATAACTTTTACACTGGTCTTGTTGTGTACTCAAACAGTGACCCAACATCACTGGAGCTACAGGGAATATAACTTTTACACTGGTCTTGCTGTGTACTCAAACAGTGACCCAACATCATTGGAGCTACAGGGAATTTAACTTTCACAGTAGTCTTCTCTGTTGTTTTATACGAGAACTGTGGGATGCTTCTGGTACGCATAGGATGGTTTGGTTTTGGTTGTTTTGAATTTCGCGCAAGCTACACGAGGGCTATCTGCGTTAGCCGTCCCTAATTTAGCAGTGTAAGACTAGAGGGAAGGCAGC